GTTTATTTTTTTTGTTTTCGCACTACAGTTTAAACAGCCTTAGGTCCTTCACAAAGTGCTATTTCTCCAAGTGACGGAAGTACGAATCAGGGTTCTGGGAGCAACTCTAAAACATCTTCCTTTACAAGTAGTACTTCTTCATCGCAAGGTAAGCACTATTTCTCGTTTGGTTTGAGGAGAGGGAGTATGAGCGTAGAAAGTAATTCCAGTCATCTTGACCCGTTACGACAGGTATTCAACAATCCGATCCGACCAATAATAACGATAATAACAACAATAATAATAACGCCCTATTCTCTTCTTCAGCGTCATCATTAAGCGCTTCTAATAGTTTTGGAACGACTTCGACTTCTTCGTCTCCTCCGAGTCAGTTGGTGTCGCATACTCCACTGACTAGTTCGACTTTGCCGACTGTTAGCACTACTGCTTCTCTGCCTCAGACCTCTCCGTCGTCAAGCGTCGCCACTTCAAAAAGTGAGCGTAATCTTTGGACCAATTATATTAATCATGTCTTTTGGAATAGGTGCTACTTCGTCAACTTCTTTATCCCCTAGCACAGCTCAACCTAGCTCTATTGTTACCTCGACAGGTGGTATTGGTTCTCAAAGTAGTATAGGTGAGTCGTGCTGTTCATGTGGTTTTATTTTGTTTGTTGAAGCTATATTTGAGGAGGAATAAGTATATCTCCTACTGCAAAAACTACACCAACAGTGAGTTCTTCAGCCAGTGCTACAAACCCAGCAACCTTTAGTTCGACACCAAAAGCAGCAAGTAGTTCTACACCTCTCACCTCTCTGAGCTCAGCTTCAGCTACAAGTGCTTCTTCTGCGATACCGTCGAGCTTCTCTTCTTCAGGCGTGTTCAGTGTGTTTCCTTCCCTACTATCGACAGGTTTTTCCTCTCCCGATCCTACAGAAGCACCTGATCCTACAGAGGCACCACATCCCACAGAAGCACCTGAACCTACACAAACTCCAAGTGCCACTCTGTTAGGAGCCCTGAGCCCGCGCAGTTCTGGAAGTACCGGTAAGGCGGTTTCGGCCACTTCGGTGCCTTCTACCACCTTAAGTGGAGCAGCCGCGTCACCAACTCCAACGGCGGATCCAACAGCTACAAAGACTCCTACTCCTACGAAGTCTCCAACTTCTTCTCCAACGCCAAGTGCCACTCCTAGTCCGTCACCCACAAAGTCTTCTACTCCTGATCCGACGCCGACGAGTTCTCCCACTCCAACAAAGACTCCTTCTCCAACACCAACAAGGACGCCTACTCCTTCTCCAACACCTGTACCTACGCCAACTCCGACAAAGTCTCCGACTCCTTCTCCAGATCCGACGCCGACGAGTTCTCCCACTCCAACAAAGACTCCTTCTCCAACACCAACAAGGACGCCTATTCCTTCTCCAACACCTGTACCTACGCCAACTCCGACAAAGTCTCCGACTCCTTCTCCAACAAGAACCCCAGCTCCGGATCCCGTGACGACAAGAACACCTTCTCCTACTCCAGCAAAGTCTCCAACTCCTACACCAACTCCAGTACCGGTGACGAAAACGCCTTCTCCTACTCCAGCAAAGTCTCCTACTTCTACACCAACTCCAGTATTGGTGACGAAAACGCCTTCTCCTACTCCAGCAAAGTCTCCTACTTCTACACCAACTCCAGTATTGGTGACGAAAACGCCTTCTCCTACTCCAGCAAAGTCTCCTACTTCTACACCAACTCCAGTATTGGTGACGAAAACGCCTTCTCCTACTCCAGCAAAGTCTCCTACTTCTACACCAACTCCAGTATTGGTGACGAAAACGCCTTCTCCTACTCCAGCAAAGTCTCCTACTTCTACACCAACTCCAGTACCGGTGACGAAAACGCCTTCTCCAACTCCTACACCAACTCCAGTACCGGTGACGAAAACGCCTTCTCCAGCTCCTACACCAACTCCAGAGTCCTACAGCGTCTCCTACGCCTCCAGCGTCTCCAACACCGTCACCTTCTCCGACTCCGCGTCCACCATGGTCTCCTCCGTCTTCTCGTACACCATCACCTTCGCTATCTCCAAGTCCGACTCCAACGGTACGTGATATTCTTGTTTATTTTTGTGTCTTTACTTATTGCTTCGTAGGCGACACCAATACCAACGCAGATTGTACCAAGTAAGATTCTGGTTTTTTCTATTTACCGCTTTA